AAAACCAAACTTTTCATCCCATGCTTTTTGATGCCCCCCTCCAATTGACCTGTGGCTAAGCCACGCCCCCCTCCACTCACTCGGACAAAATATCAACATTCAGTGACTGGCGCTATGGCAGGTGTCACAGTACACGACATTTTGCAGGAGGCAATTGATGATTTTTGGAGACATAACAATCAAATTTTGGTGCATCAAAGTGCCACTGAAGTTACGGTTTTTGGCTCAGAATATGAGAAAAGGATAACGGCCTTTTTACCATCTTTTCCAAGAGTGTCTCTCTGTTAGTTTGGCGCTACAGTATTTACATTGAATCATTCAGCATGACATTTGCCAACCTTTGTTATCTCTGCTATTACAGATAAGTTTATGAAGCTAAGATCCATAAGTTAATGTTAGCTTAACTAGAGCATTTTGGACAACAACTAACAATGATGTACAATCACCAAAGTACAAAAACTAGAACAAAATAGGCTAAAGAACTCCAAGCAAATAAGGTGACATGATGAACAACGCAGCTACGAGCTAACAATAGGCTAACTTTAGCTAACGTTAGCTAGAGATGTCAAAGATAACTTTATATTTCTTTCCAGCACAGTGACAATATGTTACCTCAGACACGATGTTGACTTGCCTTAAAACAGATGTAGACATCATTGTTAATCTTATTCACATTGAGTTGATGTTGTGGTCTAATGTTACTGCACAACTTTATCCAACTTACTGTCACACTTCTCTCGGTTGAGATGTGGTTCAGGAAAGGGGAAAAAAACACCCCGTTGCCCAGCCTCTCAGCATACCTTGTGTCGGAGTTGCATGTACCCTATGCACACCGTTTGACCATTTTTAAACAAATCTCAAAAAAAGCTCATAAAACCGAATGAAACTGACTTTCTGTACTGCCTTTCAATGGACGTCCAGGCAGAGAATGTCCGAGTGTATGGGAATGGCTATACGCACTGTGATTGGCTCATCGTGTTTGAGGGCGGGGCTTAGCCATAGGTCAACTGGGTAATAAGATACTTTTCCTCTCTCCATGACGGCCCTGTTCTGAAGTGAAAACTTTATTGTGTTATGCTTTCAAAATGATGAAAACAGTTGAGGAACAATTAGAATAGGAGACTCTGCAGGATATTTTTTTGGCGCCTTGGCACCTATCATGTTTTCCAAAATGATGTACAGGTTTTTAGGCATTCTATTATCTCATATAGGTTGAAAAAAGGTGCATATAGCTGCTATAAATGGGGAAAATCTCCTCAGGGAAGCATGCCTGCGAACCCCACTAGGTTTGGGCTGAACCTCCAGTGTTTACAGGTTATGCCCCTGAGCAAGAACTTATGGTATGTAATTTCACATAAACTTGACATTGCTTAAAAAAATCTTTTTTTTATGATGTAACAGACGGGATATAATTTCATCCCAGTGGTCATGGCTATATCGATCTATTCTAAATTGAAAAACATGCCTTTACGTCCAATATGTGTGTAGTTTTCTGTGGTAGGCATGCTGATGTTTATTTACATGAGCCTGAGCTGTTTTTTCAACAGCAAGAAGACAAATAACAAACATGGCATCCTTACATTCCTCATGGAGTCTCTGGCTCTGTTTTTGTTTTTCTTTCACTTGGATGCGCAGCTTCTTTGCAGTACTATTAAAGGCATCCACTCAACTGTTGACAACCTGCTCGATACGCTCTCTGGGAAATGAATGTTGCGTAACTGCATTTGAGGCAGATCAGGTGTATGTATGTACTAGTGTGTCGCTACATCAGTCAGTCGAGTTAGAAAGAAAGGAGGGAGCTTGGATGCAGTACAAAAATCCTCACTAATGAGATGAAATAAGCTGCATAGGAATCATCTGAGTCATTAAACTGAATTGTGAGGTGCATGTTCAGACCTGTGACATATATCTGCCTCCCATCTGTCATAACACACTTCAAAACACAACTGCAAGTGATAGAGTCATGGTTTGGTAAGAAAGCATGCAGGCTTCTTCAAGGGAAATTTCTGCTTGATTTACAGTTGGCTGATGAATCATATACAGTAGTGTGTTTCCTACCAGGAACTACTGAGGCAGTTCTGAGAACAGCAGCAATAAACTGTATGAAGGAACTGTTCAGCTCAGAAAATGTATCAATGATGCTTCATGATGGGACAGTGACTTGACGAAAGGTTCTGGGGATTCTGCGAGGATTAAGTCTTTCTATCTATCTCACACACTTGGCTGAGAGCAGTGATAAGAGATAGGAGGAGGGTTTGGTCAGTGAGACAAACTGCTCAAGAAATTCATGCAAATTGAGGCTATTTTCCTGAGAATGTACATGGGCGATTATGATAGCATAAAGTATTTTGTGCTGAACGGCACGTATATGCAGTATTAGCTATCAGCCATATTCCTGTAGACTTACTATCATGTTTCTGTGGTACTGCAACCTCACAGCAACCTTTTACATATTTGAGGGCATTTTAGAATACTGTGTCATTACAATATATTATAATATTCCTAATTGGACCCATTGTGTTGTGTTACTCAGTGATCTATTGCACCTAATATTTATCTACAACTTTTCTGTAATATTGTCTTTACAGTGAGTTTATGCTGCTCAGTACTAATTTTATGGTAAACTTGACATACATTATGGCAGTAATACTCAACTTTTAGACTGTGGGCCAAATTGGGCCTGTGACAGTGTGCCATGGGGCCCACTAACCATATTCTAATTCACAATGAAAACATATTTTTTTTGGTACTTTAGGGCCTGTGTCCACATAGCATTTTTTCTCAACGCCAGCTTATTTTTGTCAATTATTCCCAATGAAGATAGAGTGTATGCAGCCGCATGTGGCTGCCCAGAGATATCCCTACCACTTCTTAAGCTAGGCTGCTGTCACAACATAGAAGATGTCTGTGCAAGCAGATCAGCTAGCAAACACTAGATGTTGCTCGGAAGTTTTGTACTTTCATCACCGTACTGTTTGTTGTTAACTGTGTAGTAAACCCTCTCTTAACATAGCATTGCATTAGCAACCTAGCTAACATTAATGTCAAACATTGTCGTCATGGGGCGTTGGTAGCGTAGTGGATAGTGCCGGCGCCTGAAGTACAGAGGCATTGCCTCACTGCAGCTGTCGCGGGTTTGAGTCCGGCCTGTGACCCCTTGCTGCATGTCAGTCCACGCTCTCTCTCTCTCTCTGTCTCCCCATTTCACACACTGTCCTATCCATTAAAGGCAAAAGCCCACAAAAAATAACCCTTAAAAAAAAAGAAGACATGGTTGTCATAGAAACAGAAACCACATGCAGCGTGTCATGAAAAAAAAAAGTGCTAGGAGTACTTTTTCATGAAGCCCAGGGATGAAGTGCCACTGCCACTGCTTTTCTACTGAAGAAAAATGCTCTGTAGACACAGGTTCTTTTATGTTAAAAAAAAAAAAAAAAAAAAAGTGCCACAGTGCATACAAAACATAAAAATTGAGTTTGTTTGTTAAAAAAAAAAGTTGCCAGGGATGATCCCCTGGACCCTGTCAGAGGTCCAGGCTAAGCCCCGAATGTCCTCATAACCTAAACGCCCCTGTGTACATCTGATCGATGCAGGGCTGCTGTGACTAGATCTGATAACGATGAGTGTGGACAGCAAATGTCTAAAGGTTAAAAACGGGCCATTCATTTATTGTGTATACTGATAAATATTAATAATGTTTGTTTATTAAGTGGCCCCTGATCTCCTGTCCCTTTGCAAAAGTGGCCCCCAGACAAAGCAAGTTTAGTAACCTGTCTTTTTGGTCCACAAGGTGAAGTCAGGTAAGTGTGACAAAAATGTTTTACATCTTAGGCTCTTTACATATTACCAACCTATCACCAAACATGTTACTGCATTGTTACTACAAATGTGTACAAATGTGCTTGATTGGTCTGAGATAATTAGGATGGGCAGAGCAAAGAGTCAAAAAATTACTGGTGCCAGAACTTTTAAGAAAGCCATGTGGCATGTTGATTTTCTCTTTTTGGCAGTTAGAGTGCTCTAGCTAACACAATGAGGTTATACCAACAAAAATGGTTGCATGGTGTTGCATTTATCAAATGTTTGACTTTTAATACACTTTAGTTTTTATGGGAAAAGGTTTTGAGTGAGTTCTTTATGCATTCAGGTAAAATGGGACATTTTAGTCTGACGTGAAACCAGTATGTTGTTAGGCTACCAGGTGCCATAAACCATGACTTATGCTATTGTCTCCCATATTGTTATATTACAGACATTTTTAGTATTTCAAAAAATATTAAAGACAATGCAGTGAGTCCACGTGAGCCACAACAGTCAAGAATTAGTCATCACTGTTAAGACCCAAGTCCATTTTAAACAGTATGGCAGTAAGGAAACAGCAGACGACAAGGGAAAGCATTTTTAATGAGTAGTTAGGTTACATTAATGATTTAATGAATTAATGACTGCATTGATAAAGGGATATAACCATTTAATAAACAAACATGATGGTCTCCTTTTGTCCTATCTGTCCCATTTCACTTGAACATATCAGAGTGAGGCAGGGGTTCTTGATGTGTTTAAAGGTCTAAAGTTTCTGAAATATTTTACTTAGTAACATATTTTCACTGTAGAAATATAGCAGAGATACATAGGTAAAGGGAAAACTTCAGGTATTATTCAGAATTTTAGGTGGTTTTCATAAGGGGTGTCACATTCTGTAACTTCACCTTATAGGCAGTTTTACAATGTCATTTTTCTGTGATATAGTTTATTAACAAAATGAATCTCTCCAAAATATATCAGAGGAATACCTCAGACCTTACCCAAGGGTATGTAGAGCCCTAATTGTCATACAGTGCTTTTAATGGTTTATCTCTGCCGACCACATCAATGCAGGATATTCCTAGCAGGGCAGATAATGACAGCACCTTTGCCTCTGAAATTGCCCACCGGCATTTGAAGCACCGCCCACTCGGTATTTAAACCCACAATGTCACTTCACTTCAGCTTCACACTGGAGAACTTGATCTTGACCAACACGTTTGGATTCATAGGGGAAAAAAGCCTACAATTAAACCTATATACTGAGTTATAACTACCAAGAAGGTAAGACTTCTCTTTACTTATGATGTGAGTAGGTTTATTCAAAACCTGTAACAGTTTAAGGTATTTGCATAATGCAGGGAGGCTGCATTTATGGGCATTTTCAGAAGAATGTAAAATCTTCATCTGGTGCAAAAGTTAAATGGCTGTTATGGAAAAAGAGGTTATGAAGCAGAAGCTGTGATTAAGAATCTATTGTGGGTATTTCAGTGCAGATAATGTGTTTTAAAGTTTTTCATTTAGATTCTAAATGAATGCAATGAGGGTAAATTCATGAGGCGCATTTTCACCGGCTCTATTTTTTTGTTGCTGTAGTCTAATGAGCAGCAGGTTCACTGACCACTTATTTCTCCTGCTTTCTCCAAAGGTTTCATCCACTGCCAAACTTGGATATCTGGACCCCACATCAATCTTCTGGGAACTTTATTTATTTATTTATTTTTTTGTTTCCTCATTTTCAAAACATTTTTTTTCTCTTTATTTTTTTTCAATCCCACTCTTGGGATTAAACCCTCGCCCAGTCCGTGTGGTCGCCCCCCTCCTTCCCGCCTCAGAGAGGGTGTAAAGTTAAAGTTGGCCCGGAGATGCAGTCCCTTCTCCCGCTTGCTGTGTATTGCATCAGCCTGGTTTCCCTCCAGCAGCTGCTGGCTCTGCCGGCGGAGGAGCGTCCCGACAGGAACAGGTAGGACACCCGGTTTATTGAGTTACTACTTTATATGTATAAAGACCCGCTCCGCGCTTCTGATTGGCTCAATGCTCTTTAACATACGTGACAAACGCGCGTGGAGCCGCAGTACAGTTAATTTAAATATTCTTGCGCCAACTGTTATTAATAGCCACTTACTGTCCACTTTGAACTGCGTGGTTAGAGGTTAAAGCGGAGAACTATAGGCTATCCATTAGGCTATTTAATGTTAATTAGCTATAGCCGCGGTATTAGGTATTAAATTATGTATTGAACATGCCTTTTAAAAATGAAAGTAATGTGTAAAAAGTTACACAAGTTAGCTTCAAAGCTGATGCTAATTTAAGCTAACATCCATTTATATCAAGCAAGTTTTCAGTGGACCTTTGTTTAAATACAAGGGCTTATGTTTAGTTTCAATGTAGGGGTGCACTTGGGGTCCTCTGGTGAATTTTTATGCACCAGTTTTTGGTGGAGATGTCTTCATTTTTGACAAAAGCAAGTCCTCTTCTGCTTAAATGTTTTTATAGGGGGGAACAAATGCACAAATATTGTGTGTCCCTCCGCCCCTCTCGAAATGTGCACCTATGTAGGCTATGTGGACATTAGGGTTAATCACAAACATTAGCATTCCTAAAACTCTCACTCTTCTCTAACTTATTGTTTAAGGTTCATTTTTGTTCACTTTATTCAGTACGCCAGCCACTAAAAGGTGGAATTTAGCCTGTAGCCTGTGTAATAAATCACATCAGGGTTACTGTGTGTAAAAGTGAAACTGTTGTGTCGGGCAGATAATGTAGACTACAAGGTCAGAAGCTTTGCCATGATACAATAAAACACTTTTTCTCTCCTTGAGATAAGCCCTGCTGGAGAGCACATCAGCTGTGGAATAAGTGATAGTGTCGGGCGTTGCCATTTTATATTCAAATAAACTATTGTAACTATCTAAACATTTATAAAGACCAAATCAAATAAAATCCATGTTATTTCTGTAATATTTTTTTAAATTCTGTAGTCTAACAGTGTAACAGTTCAAAGTTCACAGTGACCTTATTGTGTATATAGTCTTGTTTCTATTAGTGAACCACAAAGTAGGCGAAAGTTTAAACTAACTGATCATGAGGGCATTATCATGAGCTTGTTGGCATCATTGTAATCTGCATTCATTTTCCAAACTTTATATGATTATTCTCTTTTCATCCTCTTCCGCCTCTCGATCCCATCAGCTGTCACATGAGTAACTGTTTATACAGGTTTTGTTTGGTTTAATCTCTCTGTGATTGTCAATGGAAAACTGTTATTTCCGAGGTGGGAAAACCGGTTTGTCCCAAAGCCCAGCCAGAAATACCAGCATGGACTTTTGTAAAGGATCTCGTTAGGCAATGAGTGGCACCTGTACTTTTCCACCCCTTAAGTGGCAGTCCAACACTCATTCAGTACAGTCTACCTGTTTTAATATGTGAGGGAGGCCTGCCAGCGATGCAATATGCTGGTGGAGTTGCACTGTGGAGGAGCAGACAGGAATGTGGAGGATGAGTTGGTGTGTGAACGCCCCCTTCTGGTATATTTTGGAACCACAGCTGATGGCCCAGCAGGAGGGAGAGAAAGTTAGTGGTGTGATGTGTTGTGGGGGGCCCTGGATAAAGGCAAGCATGGGGCCCCTAAAGGCCTAAACTGACCTTTTTGTTGGCCCACAAAGACACTGATCAACATTTTGCTTTTATTCAACAGTGTGTAGAGAAAGACACAAGAAACAAGGGGAGAGAAAAGGCTATGACATGCAACAAGGGTCCCCTTGGTTGTTGTTAGGTGGTATGCACTGGGGCGTTCCCTTGTAGGTGCTTTTAATGGAAAAAAATGAAATAATATCAGTTAAAGAAATGAATATGATTTAAAGTGATGTGGCTGGAGGAAAGGTTTCTCAAAAAGACGGTATATTAAAAACTGATTGTTATACATAAAAATGATCCACATTCAAAGAGTCAGATCCTACAGGGCAGGAGCGATGAAAGAAAGCTCTTAACATCTAATAGTGATAATGTCAAAGTGTAAGAAGATCTGCGAGTGGAATTTTCCTCCAGGTGGCCATCTCTTGTGTGTGTGTGTGTGTATGTGTGTGTGTGTGTGTGTGTGTGTGTGTTCAAACACCTGCTGCTGAAACCTAACCGAAGTAAATGGAAGCGATGCTCATGTTTGTGTTGCCTGGCCTCCTTCACTGCACCTGCCCTGCGCTGTAATCCCCCATCATTCCCATCTTTGTCTAAAAGTGTCATTACCAGCGTGGGTCATCACTGCTGTTTGATATCGCTCACTCTGAGAGAAATTGATGCAGCAGCTGAGTGGGATTTTTGAGTAAAAAACGTGTTAGTCGTGTAATTAGACTGCCCCATATCTTACCAGAACATTCAGTAATGTCCCATAAAATTCTATCTGTGTCACTGCGTTTTTAATTTGTCTTTCATTGGTCATTTATATTTAATCTTTGTTTTACAATTTTGGGCAGTTGCTTTGTGCACACCTAACAGCCTTTTTCATTAGTTGTGTTTTTTGGGGGATTTTTTCTTATTTTCACATTATAAACACACTAAAAATGTGATTTAAACCAAAGTAAGGTGATGCTCAAATGGCTGAAATTGCAACACCTTTTCCTGCCCATCTTTATCAGAGGAGGCTAATTTGATCCTTTAAGTATTTTACCCACTTTGAATGGTATATCCCTGCTCACTGCTATTCTTGTCACTGTTGACTCTGGGGAGGTTGTTGATATGTCTCCCTTACACGTGCACATGTCGCAGCCTCACCAGGAGGGTATAACCTTAACTAAAACCTGAACAGCCAGCAGGAGTCTGTTTATACCTGCTATTAACAAGTGCCTTGTTAGTGTCAATGACCGCCAACACGTGTTGTGACCTGATCACTTAAACCACTTGCCAAGGTGGTCTGGGATGCATTTGACCTTGCATGTTTTTTTCCGTAACTGCTAATGCATCCTAATGCATCTCTGGTGATTTTTTTGGTGACAGCATGCTAACGTTCTGTAACTTGACTGTTTTACGACAAGTTTGATGCAGTCTTGTGTGTCCAGCCACCAATTTGCTTTATGGAAGGAGACTTGTTTAATTCTGCTGACACCGATATCTCCAGCTGTACTGACACAACCGCTAACATGAGCAGCAAGCATGCTAGTATGCAGCTAGCTAGAGCGTGGATGTAATAACTGTGTGCAAGCCCGTCTGACCCTCTGGCGCAAGTGACGTAGGCAGTATCTTTTTTTTTTTTTTAAAGATATTTTTTACCTTTAATTGACAGGACAGAAGAGCATGAAGGGGGAAAGAGAGAGAGGGAGTGACATGCAGCAAAGGGCCACAGGCTGGACTCGAGCCTGGGCTGCTGCGGCAACAGCCTTGTACAAGGGGGGCCTGCTCTACCACTAAGCCACCGACGCCCCGATGTAGGCAGTATCTGAACACAAGTGGTCAGCTGGAGACGCATGATAGACACAAGTGTAAATGGTGATGTGTGTTGGGTGTCCGGTTTGTGTTTGGATCACTGAAATGCACATTAATACTAGATGTAAGCAGGCTCCAGAAATCACTAATATAGTGACAAGATCACAATCACTCACTGGCTTCCCACCATGAACACCAAATTCCATTGAACTCTGATATTTGTGGTCATGGGTAAATACTTCTTTCACCTTCTTCAAGGCATGTGTCCACATAGCATTTTTGTTTGGCAAAAAAGCAGTGGCAGGGTGCCAGGGAGCGCCTTATCCCAACACTTTATAAAAAGCGCTCCCAGAGCTATTTTTAATAATGCGTTGCATGTCATGTATCCTGACATTAATGTAATGCTATGTTAATAGAAGGTTGACTTCACAGTTGACAACAAGCTTACAACACGTATGGCGATGAAAACACAACACTCATCAGTAACATTCAGTGTCTGGCCAATCTGCCTCCACAGATTGGTTTATCTGTCTTTGTTCTTATAGTTCCTGACTGACATGTCATGCAGCTCGGGACAGATAGTAGCTAAAGGAGCGACAGTGAAGACTTCTGAAAAGTTCAAAGATTTTAAATTAGAAGTGTTCAGCAGCTGTGCTCTGAAAAAAGATGTCTGCAGCGCCCTTTCTCTTGGCAGCCGCATACCTCATAACGAGCAGTTGAAAAAAGATGCTGCTGGTCAGAAAAAAAAATCTGGGTGGACACAGGCCCTTAGATCGGACTTCTTATAGGCTAATAAATCAAATATCCCATTAGGGAATCTCATTACTTCAAATTATGTGCCTGAAGTTGATTCAGTGTTGTTGAACATGTACATTAAACGAGGGCCTGTGGTTGGGTAGTGTCAGGTTTATAGACCTTCAGCAATGTAACTGATCACAGTCTATACAAATATATTTCACTCCAACAACACCCCCCTTCACATTTCCTGCTTCACAAGCCTCCACATTTCTCACTTTGCACATCTCTCATAAATGTCCAGTCTGCTTTTTATTAGGACAGTAAATTCTTGACTCCATAGAGCACATCCTGTCCTGTTACCATCACATGCTGACAGTATTATTATAACAGACATAACTACTCTACATTTTTCTCTGCCGTTGGACACCGACACTGTGTCTGAGCTCACATGTCTGTCATTCCTTCCCTGTTCTGCGTTTGTGTCCATGTTGTCCCTGTGTGTCCTGATAAGGACACGGCAAAATCCACTAGGACGCTGTAACAATGCCTGACGGGCGCTTCCCAAACAAGGAGAAATTGCATGTTCCTGTGATTGCATGCAGCGCATACCCTTCATTGTAGTTTTACATAATGTCTCGAGGTTTTCTTTGTAAGGGAAAATAGCCGGGATCCGCAGCCAAACAAGTTAAATATGGCTTTAGCAGCGAAGCAGCTTTGCAATACAGATTCCAGAAGTGGGAAGCAGCTCATTGCTTAAAGGCGAAGGACATGGAAAGCTGATTTGTGGTCAAGCTTTTGCTTTGTAGACCT